TCCCAGCCAAACAAATACAGTAGAAAACACGAAGGGTGTTCCTTGCTAGCTGACTCACAGGCCAGTTTATACTCAGATAGGTTTCTTATCCAATCCAAGGCTTCCTGCCGAGGGATGGTGTCGCAAACTGGGATCGGCTGTGGTAATGACTACAGAAAGTTGCTCTCGTCTCTGGCTTTGGATGGGTGCTGGGATTAAGGCAGGTGGCAAGCATTGTCTAATCTCTTGGTCAGCGCTGTGGTGTTGTGTGTTGCTGCCTCACTGTGGGCTCAGTGAGAACATTGAAAAGCCAGAGCCCCTTCCAGAAGGACCTGAGAGTAGTCCTCAGGCTCACCCTTGTTTCGCTGACTCTTCAGGAACAGTGGGATAAACAGCCCCAGAAGAGGTGTGATGGGGAAGGGTCTCCCCCAGCCCCCTATGGTACTCAGTTCTAGCACCGTGTTCTGAAAATAAGTTGGATTTATATTTATTTGGTTTTGGATGTGGATTCTAGTTCAAGGCTGTCAGGACTCGACTGGAGAAACATTGAAGTGCTCCAATCCTAAAACCAGAAGGAAGGAAACCAGGCATTTCTCTCACCTGCTCTGCTGGTTGCCCAGGCTCTTGAGTCCTGAATTTTGGGGCATTTCCCCCAAGAGTCTCCTGTCATTTCTCTCTGAAGTCCTCTCATCTGTTTACATTCTCAGCCACCTTCACCTAGAAACTCCTGGTCTTCATTATGTCTAGTCCTTTGTTTATCCTGCTGAATGTAGTGTCGGGGAAAGCGTGGCCAAGAGGATCCATGCTGGTATCAGGGCACATGGCATCTGAAAGCCAGTGAGTGGCACCTTTGACACTGTGAACAGTGAAATGCTCGCTTGCTTCACCCTCTAGCCCTTTGGAGTGCCTGAGCTACCCAGCTTCAAGACAGATTACAAAAGGCTTCTAGAATAGACACCTGGGAAGGGAGAGAAGCTTCGGAGGGGAGAAGAAAGCCCAAGTCAGCATATTCCACTCTCAACCGTCAGTATCAACGGCGTTTTCAAGGCCAAGACCTGGCACACAAAGAAGCAGCCCTTGACACTCTTAAGCCTCCCTTAGCGCGAGGAGAATGGAATCAAGCTGGCTTATTCTTTTCTTATCATACCTCAAAGTATCTTAGCGATGATCCTGGTGAAGCAGATGTCTCACCGTAGGTGGAGGTTGTTGGTAAATAGTGGTGAAACAGGTAGACCCAGTCTTCACTTTTCTCCAACTCCCACTTGCTGATGCCCAAGACGCCCAAACCATGAGCATATATAACCTTAGAAATGCCACTGGATGTGGGATTCTCGCCAGGAACCCGAATCTCCCAGTCCCCATCACAGAGAGGACTTGGCTGGTGAGGGACCCTTGGCTATATTGCCAATGCTGTTTTCTTTGCTTACCTGGACCTTCCTTCTTACTTATTTCGGAAACTTCCAAACCCACCTACCTGTCTACCTTCTTCCTTTCTCCCCGCACTCCTTCCTTCCTTCACTCCCTCCCTCCCTGAACCTGGGGCTCCAGCCTTGAGTCTCCTGAGCAGGCTCCTCGCCGCTGAGCTACAGCCCTAAGTCCCCTGCTTCTTCTGCTACTCTGTATGTCCGCAGTCCTGCTTCCTTGTTCTTGCCTTGCATGGTTACAGTTCATTAACCTTCTAGTTGTGTCAGGTAGAACACAGGTTTTATTAACCACTGGGCTAATTTTGTTAGGATCCGCTGCCTCGGAAACACGGCACACGGGATTGGTTTTCTCGGGGCACCCTTCAAATCTGTGCTTAATTTTGTTCAATACGAGGGGATCTCAACTTCTTGAGAGAAGAAAATATCTAGAAATTGAGTGGCGACTCCCTTGATTCTTGGGCCGCTTCTGACTTAATGGTTTGTGCTTCAGAGGACAGGCTGTGTTTTTAAGCCGCAGGCTTTCCCATGCTGCTTCATCGCCAAACTGACTGCAGGACACCCAGGTTCTCCATGTTTCAGCAGAGGTGGGAATGGTTGATAGAGCAAGGCCAGGCTTTATGGTTGCTGTCCACAAGTGAAATGACCCAGGTTCTAAAGTGTTGTCTATTCTCGGAGGTATTTTCTGTTAGTGGTGGTCGTTATATATGGTGTATATATGTACATGTGTGCATGTATTTCATAAGCAGAGAGGATTTAGGGTTTCCTTTGGTCTTTCTACATGTTTTAATTACGTGGTATCTCTAAAGGAAATCACCTCTAGCCCAGAATCTCCAGCTTATTATAGCATGGCCAAAAGTAATTTTTACATCCTTGTATCTGGTTAGGAAAACTGTCTCTTAGGTTGACATCAGAACAAGCAGCATTAGTCGAAAAGCACATCGTATACCCTTAACTACCAAACAGTTATATGTTATTCCCGATAAGTATTAAAAAGGATCTACAACCCTGAGGCTAGAGAGGCATCTCAGTGGTCAAAGTGCTGGTGTGCAAGCATGGGCATCTCAGTGGGCATCCCAGAACCCATGTTAAAAGCTGGGCATAGCAGTGCTTGGCAGTGCATACCTTTAATCCCAGCGGTGGGCAGCAGAGACAGGAGGACCTGGGGACATTGCTGGCCAGCCATTCTAGGCCACAGGTGAGTGACAGGTTCAGTAAAATACCCTGTCTCAAAGAATAAAGCATAGAACACTTGAAGGAAACCCCACGGTCACATACATGTGCATGCATGAGCAGGGGCACCCACATGCACACACATGCTCTTAACTCCTCCCACTCAACGCGCGCGCACACACACACACACACACACACACACATTAATTTAAAAAAAAAAAGATTTAAGCCCTGGCACTAAAATATTTTTCCTTAAAAATAAAAACCTCTAAGACATTGTGTAACAATTATCAAAATTGTTCTCAATCCCGTGTTAACAGTGTGTATCAACCCTGTCTCTGTGAGTGAGAGCAAAGGATTCTATATGTCACTTTTCGCTCCCTCAGAGAAGTTTTGACTGTAGACAGGCGCACAAGCAGATGACCTAGGAACACCTGAGGTGGGGACAGGTAGGAACAGGTAGTTACTGAGAACTGTGTGTTGAGATTCTAAGGGATTGAGGATGTGGCAGATGAAAGCTGGGTTATTTAGGTAGTTGGTCAAGCATCTTTGTCTGCCAGTTAAGAGCATGTTCCCTTTTCCTGGGTGCCAGTATGAACAATAAATTGGCATTTTTTGACAGTAGACATCTCTGTAAGGCATGGGGACAAGCCTTCCAGTTATGTGATAGGTTGGTTTTGAGATGGATCAATACATGGAATAAGTAAGACACAGCATGTATAGTTTCTACCTACCTTAAAGGTCAGAAATCCATTAGCCACTGTTTCTGATAATTCAGTTATTTTCATAATTCTTCACTCACCTTTTAGTCAATTAGATACTGAATTTTTATGCCTTTGAAGCCACTGTTGCCCAAACATTGTGTGCCTATGGAGATGTCTGTGTAGACTCACCCTGCAGAGATGGGATGCTGGAGGTCCTCCCTTGTGTGCTGTTGTTAAGCTGGGTTTCTGCTAAGGCTGGCATGGCATTTTTTTTTTTTTGGAATATCTGTCTTCCATGATTGACAGTGTCATTACCTTCTCCTCTGGTTTATTAAAAAATAAAAAGCAGGTATAACATTATGTTCACTGAATAGTAGTGCATGTGGATTAAGAATTTATCGTTTGAAAACAATTGCAAAATAATGTTCATAGTCATAGAAAGTGTCAGCATGGGGATTGCAGTATGCACTTCTTATTCTGGCCTCGGCGAATGTGTAGATTCTCCAATGGACAAAGACAGAGAACTAGGGACAGAAGGAGCTGTGGTGGGCCATTGAGAGTCTGAGCATTCCTTCCTTCTCGTAGATATTGTTGATGATTTAATTACTACTTTTACTGTGAAAACCCTGTAGTTCTAGTTAAGTCTCTAATTCCATTTTTCATCGGAAGATTCAGACATTTAAATACTTGCTAGATGCAGCCTCTGAGGAAAATGATGCCTTGTCAGGTGACTGTAAGGAACTGAGCGATGCACATTTGTCTTCTTGCTCCTGCGAGCATCTTTCAAGGGAAAAAGCCACACACGCCTGCTTAGGTCATCAGAGACGTTTTACTCCTGTTTTTGCTTAACATTTGCCAGAATAAAAGCCCTGGAACTGTGCCTACCACAGATTCATTCCTAAATGCAAACTTAATTAAAAGTAATTTCAAAACTCTATAAAGAACCAGTAACACAATCCAAAACATATTCTTCTGTCTTTGGAGGGGGGATGGGGTACTGAATTAATTGGTTCGTTTGCCTGATGGCACACGGAGTTCTTAAAACCCTTGGTGGAGTGTTACCTGCCATGGAGGGTCTACATCTCAGTCCTGAAGATGATGTAGCCGGACTCTGACCTGCCCACCAGTTCTTCGGTTCCTTGGGATCAGTAGGGAAAGGCGCTAGGGTCTGGGACACGCCACTGCTGCCACTTATCAGTTTCTTGCCTTTATTAAAGATATCCAAGTACCAGCTAGAAATTCCTAAGTCATCGGCTTTGCTCACCAGTGCTTCTGGTCTGAGTTCTTAGTAAGTGCTCAAAAATTAGTTATTTCAAAGAATACCCTTGTCCCTGTGGCCCTACAGTGTAGTAGATAGCCCTTTCTGAGCCATGGGCATGCCCCAAGACTACAAACATGACTGCTTAGACCTGCACTCTCCAGTGTGGAGCCACTAAATCCCTTTGCTATTTTAATTTAAATTGAATACAATTTTGAAAACAGCCCTTGGTTTCACCAGTTATTTCTTGAGAGCGCTAAGAAGCTAGAGTACACGCAGCACTCTTGTGAGCTGTCCTCAGTGATTTCCCTGATGCCCTGAGAGCCGAGGGCTCAAGAAGTCCATGTGGCTGTCCTGCTGGATAGGACGAGTGGCTGTAGACATGACAGAAAGTCCTGCTGGACACAGAACTTTACGGAGTTTTTCCTGGGCCTCATGGGTTTCTTGCTTGTGTTTATAATGCAGCAGTCTGCTTCAGGAAGTGAGGGTTCCGGAACAAGAAGGACCTTCAGGAGCTGCCTCACACTGTGACATGTCTGATCCCTTGTGCCCGTCACCGCAGCATGAACAAGGTAAGGGAATGCTCTTCGAATATGCTTTGTAAATTTTCCTATATCATGATTTTCTTGGGCACATATGTCTCTGTGGCCCTAGATGGTTGCTTTTCCTGCCATTACAGTTGGTCGTGTAATGCCCACAAGCCATCTTCCAGGCAGGGTGCAGGAGCTGGTGGACACTTCATGATTCTATAGAGTATCTCTTGCATTTCCCAGAGGTGTTTGATAGCTGAAATGCTGACTGTTTGTGTGACTGTGTTGACATGACTCATAGAGAATTAGTCTGTTGAGCCAGATTTCCTGAGATGACTATCCGCTCTGCCAGACCTCAGGCAAGTGACCCAACTTCTTGAAGCCTCTCTTTTTCCCATGTGTAATATGCTAATCACAGTGGGTAAAATGTACTAATTTATGTGCCACTTGCCATGGATAGTGCCTGTCTGGATTACAGGCCTCATGGAAGCATGTGACATAGTTTTGATGTTGGGACACTGTTAGCCCATAGACCTAGCTGCAAGAGAGTCTAGCAAGTACGTGCAGCATTTCCATTTGCTCTCTGACGTGCTGAGTAGCCATTGACTCCCAGAAGGGCCCATTAGGGGTAAGCAATGAGTAAGGTTTGGATTGAGCTGCTAGCAGGTGGCAGACTATTTCAGGTTTGAGTATTCTAATAAGGGATGTACCAGAAGCTCTACAGGCACAGAAGAAACAGCCAGATCTGTGACTGTCTTAGCTTTCTATTGCTGTGATAAAATGCTGACCAAAAGAAGACTTGGGAAGGAAAATTTTTATTTGGCTTATAGGTTGCAGTCCATCATCGGGGAGTCAAGGCAGGAGTAGAACCAGGGACCATAGAGGAATGCTGTTTACTGGCTTGCTCCCATTGCTTGCTCTTTTATCCAACCCAGAACCGCTTGCACAAGTACTGCCCACAGTGGACTGGCCCCTCCTACATCAACCATTAATCAAGAACATAGGCAATCTGATGGAGGTGCTTTCTCAACTGAGGTTCTTCATCCCAGATTACTCTAGTTTGTGTCAAGTAAGTTGACCAAACCAAACCAGGGTCGTGACCTAGGAGAGACATCACAAAGGAAGTGAGATTTTGAGGTGGAGTCTGGATGGTAAATGGTAATTTTCTGGGCAGATGGTGTAGAACTAGGCACTGCAGGTGAAGGGAAAGCCTGGGTTTGGGCACAAAGGCCTGGGAGAAGGTCTGGTATGCTCAGGAACAGCAGGCGTTTGCATGACTGGAGCAGAGTCATCTCTCCATGACACTTGGCGCTGTGACAAGGGAACTCAATAGTGAGTGACTGTCTTCTGCATTTTAGGATTCTTGGTGGTATCCCCTTCTTCCCATTCTAGTCAAGACAACAAAAATTGTCCCCTGGTATTTATTTTTCCATGCCTCTTGACAAAAATCACCTCTGACTGAAATCTACACAATTGGTGGCCAGAGGCCATGTATGAGCTCAGTGACAGAGGCAAGGCCAGCATTTGGGCCACAAATGGATGTGAAACAGAGGAGAAACTTTTCTAGAAAAACAAACATAATGTATGGGTTGTTGTGGTGGAGTTGTACAACACTTGGGGTACTTTGGTCTTGACCACAGAACGGGCATTTAACCTGCTGAGTTCCCAGTCTGAAGCTATCCCGAAGTGATTTTTCGTAGGCCAGTCTTCCTTCATAAGGATGGGAAGAACTAAGGTCCCTTCAATGTTTGCACCTTAATAGGATGTTGTGGCTGCTACCATACTTGAAGAGGCCAGAAAAACCAGAGCAAAACAGCAATAATAGAACCAAACAATTATGTTGAAGAATTTTACATTTGGCTGAAATGAACTACTATCCACCCCGTCCTGTGCCAAAAAAAAAAAAAAAAAAAAAAGGAAGCCCTCTGTTGGATGGCCCACTGTTTCCCCCACAGGTCCCTATCCAAACTTAAGGACTTACCTTTTAACAGGCTAACAAGTCAGCCTAGGGAGTTTTGAAGGACAGACTGTGGTTCTGCCCCATAGTCATGGCTGGAGACAGAAGTCTATCCCCACAAGCCCCGGCTTCTGTTATTTTGAGGCTGGTATACTGGAAAGTCAAGGCAGTGCTTGGGAAACTTCTGATCCACATGCTCAGCTTGTGCCATCAGCCAGCTCCCGGTGGCCTGCAGGGCATCTCCACAACTGATGTCATGGTCTTGCTCTTAGCACACACTCAGGAAGCAGACTCTTGGGAACCAGTAGGTGTGTCTGTGCTTGGGAAGTCGTGTTCTGCCTGCATGGCCTGCTGAATGCCTTACTTTATATCATTTTAATTGGAAGCAGTGATTAAGTTGGATGTGTCACCTCCCTTGGTCAGCATTTTTCTCCCTCTTCTTATGGCTTTCTTGGCAACAGACAAAGAATAGGTCTTGCTCTGGGGGAGGAAACAGCTCTTCTCAATACAATAAAACCAGAGAGTCATCTCATCAGGGAGGTATGTAACAGGCTGCTGGAAGTGTGGTCATGGGTGTGGCTGGTGTTCTAAGTGGATTTGTTCCTAGAAAGCTGGGAGACATTTCAACTGTAGCTCTTCATTAGACACATTCTCTAATTCTGTCCTTCCTTCCTGAATATCAGCTAGGAGGATTTCAGTTAGGGAGCAGTCAAGACAAAAGGTAGCCACAGTGTTCTAGAGTTCTTACTCCTTTGAGGCACCAGGGTGATACTGATGACAGATTTTCTCTGTGGCCTTTCAAGGCTAAACCCTCTAGAAAGCAGGAATGGCTCCCACGGCACAAGGGGGTTGCTAACTTATTTTAGTAATTTGATCATGCGGCTGACCTAGGGCTAGTGAACTGCATCTTCCAGGCAAGGATTTTCTTTCTCAAATTTTCCCTTTCTTACCTGTGGCTGGGTGTGAGGGGATAGCTGTGGCCCTGCTTGAGCCTTTGCAGTACTATGGGCAGAGAGGGGAACGAGATATTCCTAAACTCACTATGAATAGACCGCCATTTCCTGAGGCTAGTATGCGGGGATTATGACCTCTGGATGTGCATTCTAGAAAGTTCACCTCAGACTGACCCACCTTCCTCACGTTGTAAAACAGGCTTAGTGGTTGTACAATGAGAGCCTTAGCCTTATGCATTAAACAAATCATGAGATGCATATTTTCTGGGACACCATTCCACACTCCACCCTTACTCCTTAGACTGGAAGACCATCTTTCCAACTTTCTCAGCCTTTTTTGCAAAATTGACATTTCAGCCTTTATGATGATTGACAAATTTCACAATGGCGACTTAGCTTTTGAATTGTGCGAAAAAGCCTTTATCCTATCTGGTTTCTGGAATCATTCTTACTGACATTTATACCACATCTCACGTCACACGTTTCTGTTAGTCACAAGGACGAGTGTTTGGGGGAAGTATAGTTTGCAACAAAGCGAAACAAAAACAAGAAACACCAGACAAAACGCAGGGAAGTCGGGATCCTCAGAGGAAGGCAGTGCAGAGCGATGCTTCTCACTGTGTATGGCGGTCACAAGCCACACCCACACCCATGACAGGGTCTGCTCCCAGAAGCCCCTCCTGTGGCGGTCTTGGGGTGATGGCCCCTCACTTTCTTAAAGTTATCACTTTCCTGAGGGTCTGTCACATGGCCTCTTCTCTGGGTTTGTGAGTACATTCCATCTGACTGGAAAACAAAAATCGCTTTTTCTGATGCCACACAAAATGATGCCTTCCCTGTCGGCACTCCACTGGTGACATGGCCTCCTTCCACACTCTTGTCATGTTCCAGTGAGGCCTGCTCTGCTTTGATGACTTTGGAAGGGTGCAGAGGGTTTAGGAATGCCTCTGACCTCCCCTGGGCACAGAGGCTGTTGCTGGGTTAGTTAACTCCCCCACCCCCAGGTTCTTCTCTGACTATTCCTAGATCCCCACTCTGTTGTTCCAGCAGCGGAAGCAGTGTTACATTGACACTCAGGCCAGTATCCCTACAGTCGGCTAAAAGATACACCCGAAATTCACTTCATTTCTGCCTTCATTTACAGTCTTTCTTACTTCGCGCATACCATGAAGCAGTGAAATCCAGAATTCACTCCCCTTGTTTATCCACCCAGCCCTTGGTGTAGACATGGCTTTAATTTATCAATTACATCTTAAAATTTACAGATTATCAATTATATTTTACTGATGAAAATGTTTTATTGAGCAGGTTCTCACACACATCCTGAGTTCTGTGTGTTAATGTTTACAGTAAGCCAATCGGAAAAGAACAACAGACTGTCTGAAGTTCTGCTCCATCAATGGCAGAGAGCGCCATCCCAGCCTGAGCTTTAAACATGACCCTGATATTAAATGCTCCTCCAGCGTAAACGTCTTCTGCTGGGAGAACAAGCTAAAATGCTACTGGGTCCAGACAAGGAGTGGGCAACAGGAAAGCCAGCAGCCATCCGCCTCCCTCTCGGCATGGCCCTAGTGCTCCAACCTGTATTTCATCAGCTCCAACTGCCTTTTCCTGGAGGCGGCAGCTAATCCTCCTTGAGTCAGAAATTGAGGAACTATGGCTTTAAAAAAATCTAGTGACATGAAAGCAAAGCTGAGTAAACATTAAGTGATCTTTAAATAAGGAAGGTATTCTCAATTCCTGCGGCAGAAATTAAAGACAGAGGATGTTTTACCTGTGAATTTTCTCATTTGTTCTTTGCATCAGAAGATACTATCAACTAGTTTAAAAGACAAGGTGAGGGATGTGTGACCGTGTATGTGTGACTATGTGTGAGTATGTGTACATACATATTTATATATACATAATGCAGGTGATAGATAGCTAATTGGTTATAGATATAAATAGTGAATTGCTTACAAATCAGAACAACAAATGATAAGATGAAATAATTGCTTTAGTAGAAAGTGAGCAGAAATATAAAACACATAAAGGAAAACCAAAAATAAACAACACATGAAAAGTTTTAAACTTAAGAGTAATCAAATAAGTGCAAATAAATTATAATGGATGAGAATTTGAAACTTCACTCA